TTCTCAGCACCTCTCCTTTCAGGTACACTGTTCCTTAAGGGGTACTCCAAGCTAACATATTCGTCCTTCTTTTCATGAGAAAATAATCATCCCACTAATTCTGCTAATACAGTTCTGACCTATGAATTTGCTGACTTTTTGGTCAACCACTTAGCTTTTGACTTCATTCTTCCTTATGTGCACTTGCTTGATTTTCCTTTGGAGTGTGACAATGTCTCCATTGACTTCACCATCTCTGTCTGCCTTACAATCTCTTCTTCCCACAACTGAGTTATCATTTAATTTATTTTTCTTCCAGCTTGAATACTCATTTGAATATCTTTACTTATCTTTTTTCCTTTTCTATCAAGCTCTTTTCTTCTTTTTATTTTTTGAATTTTGTCACATACAGAGGTATTTTCCTCAACCTTCTTTTTTTTTTTTTCCCCACAGCTTTTTTCCTTCTCTATTCACTCTTCTAAAAAATGGAGAATTTCAAGGTCTCACAGAATCCACCAAGAGTTTGCTTCAAGTTCCCATTTCACCCATGAAAAGTTTATCAACCATTCCTGCTGTACACACCTTCCCTGATGCATATTTCACATAGTTTAAAAACTTGGTGATCATACTGTATGCAACAGGAAAGTGACTTTCAAGGTCAGAGTCATCAGTGCTATCAAGTTCAAGCCACTTGCCAGACCTTAAAGCACTCCAAAGTAGGGCTGCCTCAGTAATTGGGTTTGAGACCATGCTTTTACGTGTGGTTAAATTGGGTCTTAGAAGGTTTGGAAAAGCTGCTACCCTTCTTCTTAGGTTTTTGGGAAAACTTGTTGATTTACGTGACAAGCCCATATGTTCGTATACAAGCGGTACAATTGCTGACTACATAAATGCTCCCATAATCTCAGCATGGCTATGAAAAGAAAAGCATGATAATAATTCCAAAAAATATAATTTTATATGTTAGAGGATGAATATGAGACAAAAGCAATATAGTTCTGTAGCCTATTTTTTGGGGGGGGTGTAATTTGCTGTTGCTCTAGTAAATTCTGTTCTTTTTGACTTTAATAGGTTCACAGCAATTTAACCCTCATGAAAATTTGCTGCATTACTTTGAAAAGGCTGGAAATAAGACAGTTTATTTCTTGTAGTATTTTTGAAAATCTGCACATCCCCGAAACAAAATGTCTGAAAACCTCATAAGACAGTAGATAAGCCAAGCAATCTATTTAGGTTGCACGGTGGATTCTGGGCTTACCCGAAGAAAGAGGCAATTTCATTAATCTGCAATAGTTAAAACACTTCTAACAATGAACTGTGGTTTTGTCTCAGTGGAAATACCTGACAATTGCACTGAGGCTGTTCCCAAGCATCATTGTGCCTAGGAGGAATTCTTACTTTTTTGTCATTTTGTTCCTACTAGTAAATTAAACTCAGAATTTTCAGCCAATAGGTATTTTTGTAAAATGAAATGTGCCCCAAATTTTTCTGCCACTTTAGGGTTGGATTACCACAGAAGTTGTCTTGCTAAGTTCATAGCAAGAAACAGTCACAAGCAGAGACTTAGGAAGATGGTACCAGCCAAAGGATAATGCACTCCTTTCCTGCCACTTTTGGATCCCAGGTCCACTGCAGTTGGGCTCTAGACATTCAGCACTGGCTGCAGGGACAGAGTGACTGATTATCCCTTTGGTTACCCCTTCTCAGTGCCTGGGGATACCCGTCCATTGCAAATGCAACTCACTCAGGGGTTAAAGCACAGCCTTATTCTCCACACTGATAGAGAGCAAGAGGACAATCTTCTCTTTAATTCTCTGACCTGGACTACATTTTTGATTAAGTTTTAAACCAGCTCTTAGGTTTATATCAATAAGCAGAACACCCCCCTCGACCCCCAACAGTCAATATTACATGATCTTCACAAGAGCTTATGTAGCTTACCATAGTTATACACATTCCCACACAAACAGTAATGCTGTCTGATCCTGGAGTGTGTCAAACACCTTTGGTGTTGTTCTGTGGCATCCTGAGAGTGATTTTATCAATGACAAAAATTCATACTACCTAATCAATAACTATAGTACAACAAGTTGGAGCAAACGAGGAGCAGAAATCCTGATAAACATTTTATAGGGCTTTAGAAACAGCTTTCAAAAACTGATAAGAGAATGAACTCCCTTCAGCAGGATGCTGTTGGCAAGTTTAACAGCCTCATAGACAGGATCTCACAACCTGTGAAGTTTTAGGTTGGATTCTCCAATCACTCTGCTAAACCAGGCTCTTGGTGGATGCACACTTCATGTGATCCTACTAAATTCTTGTAGGCAAATAGAGAATCTGGCCCACCATATTTAAAGGTAAAATTGCAGTTTGACTCAGCACAAACAACATTAGAACCAGGTCATTCATGTCTTATAGGATTCTAAATTGGACTCTGTGAGCTACACCATAATGTATCTTCTGTAGGACACTTCCATAGGCGAGCTGTGTTCACACAAGCATCCAAATAGCTCTTTCTTTAAATGCCATTATGTCTCCCTGCACTGTCTTCATTTCCAAATTCAGCTCCACTTATGTAACACAGACCACTGAACTGAATGATAGCATTGTTTGCAATGTATTTCTTTTATTTTGTCTTTCCAGTCTGATTTAGTACTTTGCTTTGTCACATTTATTTAACTATAAAAACATTACGTGAATCCAAGAAGATACTTTACCCCTGCATCTTGCTTTAGATCCACTCTTTCAATGATAAAATTAGAATCTTACTCCTAGACAAGGTGTCAACATTTGCCTAAAAAAACTTTATTCGCTTATTTGTAGAAGCTTATAAGTAGGTCATCAGCACAAGTAACCCAGGCAAACATCAACAGTGATTAGAAAAGCATCTTGGCTCCAGGATGAAAGTCTAGTTTTACTGCACTTGATACCAATGCCAGTGCTTGGTTTTAAGTTATAGAGCAGTAAAGCAATTGGTGGAATTTCTATTTTGAAGTGTGTTTTATTTTTGATATATAATGCAAGACTCTAGAAATATTGAGAGTAGTGGTGGACAGCATCATTCTTAAAAAAACACAAACCCCAAAACCAACCAAACAAGAAAAATGCCACAGAAAGTATGAAATATTCTAGTGAAGCACAAATTAACTTTCATAATCAGTTCATTAAGAAGGATTTGCATGAATTGTTACTGATTTCACTCAAAGGATGAACATCACAAAACTACAATTTTTCTATTACCTTAATTTTGAATAAAAGTAGTTGATGTGCAATTTTCTCCAATATAACCTTAACTGTGATTAAAATAGCTTAGTATGTAATTTTCCCCAATATAACTGAGGAGCTTCATTTTGTTGTAATATGTTTATCAACATAAATAAGAGCAGAAGAAGTCATCCCAATTTAGGTGCATCTGAACAAAATTTAAAAAGTAATTTTCCTAAAATGTGTATTGGATCAGGTGGGTCCTGTGCTTTTCAAATTGTTTTCATGCATATTTAATCAACGTGAGACATATACTTATGCAAGCTGAAATAGGTACAATTCTGTGTCCCAGGCTGTTCTGTTTCACAGTTTTCAATCGAGATTTTTTTAAAGCAGATTTAATTAATTATTAAAAGAAAAAAAAAAAAGAACTAAAATAATCTTCAGCCGGTGGCATAAACAGAGAAAAAGCCAAGGAACTCACAAACTACCAGCAAACCCTTAGTTCAGTTCAGTGCAGTATTGGTGCGATGCCTAGTTTTTCAAGAATTGCTTGGCTTTTATCAAGATTACTGAAATACAGGGATGGATATATAAAATGATCCACCGAAATACTGAAACACTGCCATAACCTGGGAGGATAAAGCCCCCAAAATCCAACACAGCCCCCAAATCCTACCTATACACTGGCATAGAAATATACTTTCTCACACCCACATGTGTATTTTGGCAGAGATGTGTGCCTGGCACACAGAGGGATGGAAGGTAAGTACATGCACACCTCTGGGTCTACAGAGGGTTAGATAAACACCATCTAGGAATAGAAGCACATTCCTATGAATCTGTACATATCGTACATCCATATGCATCCAAGCAAACACATAAGCATGGATATACACACCTACACACCCAAAGACACAGGGACATAGGCAAGGCACATGCACAGGCACAGACAGCTCCATAAGCACACACATATACCTACACAGCTGGCTGCATACTCACATGGACAGACAGATATACAGGCATGTGTGTGAGGGAGAGTTTACACTGGCTCTATCATCCCTGCTAATTTTTCCTTCCTTTTTGAAGCATTCCAGTTTTAGGATCCTGGGGTGAGCCAGGTCCCTGCAGGGGAGATATTCCCAGAGGAACAAAGCACTTCCAATTTCTTTAACGTTCCCCACCTCCCTCTCTCTCAGCAGCAGATCCGGGGAGATGAGCCGGGCACTCAGCACGGATTTCCCAGCTGCTGGTTTGGCAGTTTCCACCCCAGCTTAAGGAGGGGTATAGGATGCTTAAGATCTCGTCACTTCACCCCCAAACCCTAGGGGAGAAGGAACCTTGGGGCAACATCTGGACACAGCTCCTTTCTTCACACCCCCCTACCTCCCCCTCCATGCCCCCTCAGCTGCGGACTACAGGGATCCCCCTGCACCCTACCCGTTCTCTGCAGGTGTGAAAGCCTTTGCCCCCTCCCACTCCACCCTTCCCCGTTTCTCCCGGCCCCCGAATCCCGCCAGTAAACCTCTTCGCAATCCGCCACTCTAAACTTTTTCCCGGCTGCACAACCCGCAACCCCCCGGGCAGCGGCTGCGTCCAGTCCAGAGGGCAGGATGGGGCGGGAATTGGATTGCAGGGACCCGGGATGCAGGGATCAAGGCTGCAGGGTGTGGGATAGAAGGACTAGTATGAAAAGACTGGGATGCGGGATATGGGGATGTGAGGACCGGGATGCACGAATCTGAGACGCAGGATGCAGAGATCGGGATGTGGAATGCAGGGACCAGGACGCGGGATACCGGTGCCCAGCTCCTTACCGTGCAATGAGGGTAGGTTCTGGCGAGGGTCTCCAGCTGCTCCCGGGCATCGCGTGCCTCCCGATGTGCTCGTTAGACATCCACCGGGGAGTCTCACCCCCCAAACTTGTGTGAGCTGCTTCCTCTGGGAACAATCACCCTTTCTCCCCCCCACCTTGGATCGGATCCCGATGGAAACTCATCAAGGCCTCCTAAGCTGTCAGAGATAAGGCTCTGAGGGAAGGAGAAGAAGAGGGGGGGCAACGGGACAGAGAGGTTGCGATCACCAAGCAATGATCCCCTTCCTTTCCCCTCTCCTCTGGAGCACCCGCTTCCCGTTTCTCTGACCAACTTTGGCTCCGCTTGGCCAGGCAGCGCCTGGGACCGGCGCTGTGAATTGGGGTTCCTTTTCGCAGCCTGGCATCTTTCTAGATTTCCTCTCCTTTCCGGGCAAAGGGGATTGGTGCAAAGCTTTAAATTAGGAGGCGACCTAGAGTTACAAAGGCAGGGAGTGGGAGCTGACTGGCGTTCGCAGACCGCCTCCCCCGGCACTAGGTTGCGCGGAGGGGCCGGCTGCGCCTTATCCCTACCATTTATTAATTGACTGCGCTCCTAGTTCTCACTCTGGAGCTGCCTATCGCTCCTGGCACGGCCAGGAGCGGGGCTGTGGCAGGAGCCCTCGGAGGGAGGAGAGCCCCATGCTGCGGGGCTCCCCGCGGCTGTTTAACTGCGCCGGCAGCGCGGGCAGGAGCGCAGCCCGGTCCCGGGGGGAGGACACGGGTGATGAGGGGGGACGGGACACGGGGACGCTGCTGTCGCCTGGCAACCCTGCATCCCTGCCCCGAGCATCCCTCCCCCAGCGCCCTGATTGGACGAGGCCGCTGTGTGTTTGGGGGGGACACGCACACACACACACACACACACGCACACGCCCCTCCGAGGATGCTGCGCCCCGGCACTGCGACTTGTCGCATCCTCAAAAAGCCGGGAGCGGGCAAGGGGAACACGGAGCAGCCAGGAGAGCCGAGGCAGTTCAGGGCGTTGTATCACCTTCCTCCTGCTGTCTCCCTTCCAGCTGGCTTCATCAATTTGTTTCTACTTTACATCTCCTAGAAAAAGAATGTATTTGTCTATGTATGTACTTATGTATGTGTGGATGGATGGATGGATAGACAGATAGATGGATAGATAAATAGATAGAAAATATACAAATATATGCATATATGTATAAACAAATATGTATTTGTATACACAAATAGATGTGTATGTATTATCTATAATCTCTACATTATCTCTCTATATTCTAACTCTCCTATAGGGGAAGAAAGAAGAAAATTAGTTTGTGAGAAAAGAGCACTCTAGAGTGCAGCAAAGCTGGATGCAAAAGGAAAAGAAAGCTACTTTTTGGGTTACAAATGCTTGAAAACCAAAGGTTTACATCATTTGGAGTGTTAACAGAAGGTTGTGGTCCTAAAGAGAGAATTAAACACAGTAAGGTGAGTGAGATGTAACAGTCAGTGAGGATGGATGTGCTGAATTCAGAGGGGGTGAGTTTAAGTTGTGCTGCATGGGGCTGCTGGTATTATGTGTGGCTTCATTGCTCATTCTCTGCTACGGGGGGGCAGTGAGCAGCTTATTCCTGCTGGTTGAGTGTAGTGTGAAGAGGGTGTGTGTAAAATCCCAATACCTTTCCACCATAGCTCCAGCTGGGACACTGTGAATTTCTCAGTCTTCAGCAGGGAGAAAGCCATTGTCCACTTCTCATTGAATCCTTCCCCCCTCCTTTGGACTTGACCCCAGGCAGCTCCCCATCAGTGCTCTGGTAAAGCGAGGAAAGAGACACTGCAGTCAGGAGCTGCAATCCAGCAGCTCACGTGGGGCCACTATTGTTTCAGCAGACGAGGTTCTGGTAAGGAATTAAGCCAAAGTAAAAGGAAATAAACCAAAATAATCTGTTTCTGCTTCATAATATTTTATGTTAAGTTATTAAACATCTGTTTACTTTTTTTGATCTAACAATTACATTTGAGCTACTTGGCTAATTGTATGAGTTTTTTCTTTCTTGTAAGCCAAGGACATTTTCTCAGATGTGTATGTTAAACTGTGTCATTAAGAGCTAAAGTTAAACAGGGAGCAAAATGAAAGAGATCTGTTTCTCTCATGTTTAACCTTAATGTAAATTGGAATAAAATGTACACAGGACATTACATTAGCATGAGGGTAAAAAAGAATGAATAGGAAATCACTCCCATATCTTTCAAATCATAGCACAATTTGACAAATAGGCTGGAATATAATTATTTGGACTGTCTTTCAGGCTGATTGCCAGGAAAGGCTAGTGGAAAGAAGGATCTGATTCTGCATTGCTTTGTACATAGCAATCATAGCTCAAAGTGAGTATGAAAGTAACTTTTTCATTGAGTAGGATATAAAACCCACTGTGTATGAAATTGGCCACCACAGGCACCAAGTGGAATTTGGCTGAGATGTATTGTATTATTTGCTGCAGGTCACTTAGAGGCAAGGAGGTGACCCAGTCATTCATGCCTTTGCTTCAAGAAAACATCCTTGGTACTGATGATACTCTCTTTCCATGCCTGCTGCTGTGCAGTGTCTGATAACACTGCTACTACTTGCATTTACACTTGATTCAAGGCTTGTGAGGAGCAGGAAAATAAACCTGAACAGGCAAACAAGCTGTAGGCAAAGTCACAAGGGTTTTGTTCCCACTTTCTGATGGGGCAGAAGATGCAGACATGTACTGAGCACGATGTGGAGACTTACAGGTACACACAGTGTTACAATGCAGGGCAACCCAAAGGTCTCAATGAAGCCTCGTGCTAAGCTGTGTTTGGGTGCTACTAGGGAAATCATTCACTTGAGGCTAAATCCAGCATCTAACACTACACTTGACTGTGGATGTACCCTGGGTTAGGCACAGCAATCAGGCTGTGTAAGTTCTGCCAGGGGACAGCCCTCAATGTCTTTGACCTGGATCCAAATAAGGAGTTTTAAATACGAAATGTGTTTATTTATTTTCTGCCTGTGACACAAAGATGGTAAAGCAGCATTGAAAGTTATTGAAATAAGAATATTTTGCCTTTGTGAATTAGCTAAATAACAGTTACAGCTAGTTAAGAGATTGATTCCTTTCAAACTGAGTTCCCACATAACACCAAATGGAGTTCATAGAAAGCTTTGATGAGCCGAAGAATTTGTTTTTATAAAATTCATGAATGTGATTAATTACGAAGCTTACCGCCACAAGTAAACAGATGTGTATCTTTTCCTTACACGGAATTTTAGCATGAGCTTTAAGACTGTACACATGGGAACTTTCCAATCTTACATTTGATGGCAAGATACTGTTCCAGCAAAACACAACTGACTTGCTGCAAGCAGCTGTTTTGGGACACACTCATTTGCTGATTAAAGCCTAAAGCGATGCTTTAGAAAAATTGCAAATGTGCATGTACAGCCAGTGCATGATCTATGGATTGGGTCCAGCCTACCTGAATAATTCATGAGGTTTATGGTCTTTCCTCCTTTCCTGAGGACCTTACAGAAATGGACAGGAATAGGGCCATGGATCAATGATTTTTTTTTCTAGCAAATTGCTCCCTGCCACCTGATTCCCTGCAGCTCTGCAGCTTCTGCCTCTGTGAGTGGGAATGATCCAATTCTGCAGCAGTTTCCCTGAGCTAACAGTTGTGGTCATCACTCCAGAAGCAATCCTGGCATGTCTCACCCTAGAGATGTTCTCCTGAAAGTCTGCCAATCTCAGGGTGCAAAACACCAGTTGGATGGAAAGGGGCTAATTTCCCATTTTTGAGTAGTCACAGGGATCTAGATGTGTCTCCATAACCCTATGGCCAGGTCATTCTCTGTCTTTGGAGACACAAAGACAAAAGGTTCATAGTGGCTGATGCAGAGCTCTACAAAACCCCACCTTGTCTGGCTCATCCCTACCTACTGATTGCAGGTGACACTGACATACTCCAGAGGAACAGAGCAATGCCACACAGCTTTCAGAGCAACATAGTGGTTCCTAGGGAAGATCCACACTATGAAGAGTGTAAGGGGTGTTGCTCTGTCAAACTCAAGGACCTCATGGATTGCTATGGAAAACTGTGCACTGTTATGGTGGGTTGGCCCTGGCTGGACACCAGATGTCCACCAAAACCCCTCTACTGCTCCTCTCCTCAGCTGGGGAGGGGACAGAAGGTGTAACAAATACACACACTTTCTTTTCGCTTAACAACACTGATGGCTGATTAACTTCACCATGAAGCTCAGCATCAAAATGGAATGTCTTCTTTTCTTGTTGTTAAGTGGTTTTGAAGAGATTTTAGGTCAATACGCAGAGTGAAAAAGTCCCCACGTACACTAACAATGCTGATCCTCTTATGGCTGAGTCATGTGGCACCCCTTGGGCCTTCAGTGACATTGTCATTTTCTGTCAGATGTCCTGTGATGGGTTTCTCAGCTGACTGAAGGGATACTGGCCTAGCACCAACATGAAATATGCCATGACATACTCAGGCTTTTTTTTGTGCATTCTGAGCCTTTCTCATGCACAGGGACACTGGCAACTCTGACTACAAGGCTAAACACAACAAAAACCTGGCTTCATGTGGTATGATCTAGAAGAAAGACAGAATTCAATGTGGTCTGTGCACATGCAGCAGCATCCTTCCTTCTGCCTCCACCTCCCATGACCATCAGTGTCTTTACCTGTCTCTTCTCCTCAGCTTTCCTCCAGCCAGCTTTCCAGTTTCCTTCAGTTTCCCTTGGCCTTTTTCACCTTCTTCCTTTTCACTCTTTAGACACTTGGCTGCCTGCTCATGCCTGTTGGCCATGCCTCCAGTTAACCCCAAGATCTCCTTGCCCCTTCTCAGCAAAGAAACCTCTTTTCACGGAAAAAACCCAGCAGCTGTTGTTCATCAGCTACAACAGGCGAAAAGGTCTGACTTCCCTCTGGGAACCAGCTGCCCTCTTTCCACCTCTGCTCCCTTCTCAGAGTTCAGGTTTCCCAACATACTGCTGGGGACACATATGACATCCAGATGTTGTCCAAATGTGGCTCCTTCATAAAAATACATGAGCAACAGGGATCTGTCCAGGTCCCTGAAAGATATACAAGTATACACACTCCACTTGCACTCATCAAACCTTCACTGGCCAAAATCCTACTGTGGTTTGTGCAGATGCAGGGATGAGCATATCACAGGCTCTGCCTGATGTATGCCTGATACATGTAGGAGTCCTTAAATCACCTCCAGTTTGCATTGCTCATGACTCTGGGTCCAAGGTCCACCACTCGTCTGCATCTTCTCACTCCATACTTCCTAAGTCTCTGATATAGAAGGTGATGTTTTCTTTTAGGGGACTCCAGCCTTTCCCAGGAGGCACAGGAGTCTTCCTCATAAGGGGACAGGGCATGACATAGTAGCACATTTCAGTCTCTGCCATATTTAAATTGATACGAGCAAATGACCCCATTCTACAAAATCCTGGCTGTTACATTTTTTTCTTACAGTATGAATAATTGGGTACCAAATACCAGAATCACCTACCCATTTTGCTTTTGACTTAAGTCACCTTTACATTTCTGTGCATTATTATTCTCCTTATTAGTATCTGAGCTGCTAGCAGTCTGGCCTCTTAAAACTGCTCCTCCCTCCTCCCTGAAAATCCCCTAACAACATTTCTTCTCTTTTGAAACACTTTCCCTTCCCCCATT